TCTGGGCGGTTATTTATCATCTGCTAGCCTGTGGACTCCCTGAAGGCAATGATATTGTCTTATTCAGAGCGTAAGTCCCAGCACATAGTAACAGTCCCTGGCACGTAGCAGATGCTCAGAAATATCTGTTGGAGAAAAATTAAATAGAAGCGAATACTGGGGAGCCATTGTGATTCCTTGACAGAAATGATGTGGTGAAATCAGAATTTTAGAAATATTAATCTGTCAGCATGAAAGAAGATGGATTAAAATGAAGAAAGCAACCCGTGGCTGGGAGTCAAGAGGGGAGATTATTACTGTAATTTGGACATGGTTGAAGGTGGGGGCAGTGGGAATGGAGACAGGGAAATAATTCGTCAGATATCACAAAAGAATGTGGAAGAGATTTTGCGATGAATGAGTTATAAATGTCGGGGACAGAATGGGAGTGTTGGGGACATTTAAACATTGAGATTCCCAGCAATTAGGATAAAAGTGGTGGGGGGATGGAGAAGAAGGCAATACACAGCCTATGTGTAGGATAACTGATTGCAATCTCCACAAGTTTTTCCCGGCAAAAACAAAAACAAACTCCAAGTCAAAAATCTCCCCACCCCCGATCTTCCTCCCAAACTCTGGGCTGTATTTTTCTTTCCCTAACAGCCAGTAAGAAACATTTCCTCATGGCATAGAGACTGAAAAGAAGGTAATGCCAATCTGGTGCCCTGCCCAGTGCTGGGCACAGAGGAGATCACATGAGTTCAACTGGCCAGCCTCCCCACAAGGGACCAACCCAGTTGCGTATTCAGAAGGGACTCCAGTATCCTGCTCACCCAAACTCATTTCCCAGGCCCAGACCTCTGGGAAATCCCTGCTCCAGCACTGCAGAGATTTCTAGGAAAGTCCCAGGACGCCCATCTGCTTCCTCACATTAATTTCAGGGCTAGGATTTTGTTTTCTAAAGGAATTCAACTATGATGCCAACGAAAATCTATAGGAATTGAGGAGTTCCGTATTTAAGTCACATTTTTAAAATGTTTGCTTCTTTGTATATTGAGACCCAGTAAGACCCTAGTAAGCCCAGTTACCCTATCACCTCCAACAATATCAATCAAGTAGAAGACATGCAGATTTTAAAAGCCGTGTGATCCTTGAAAAATCTTTAGACTGTTCTGGGTCCTGGGTGCATCCAGCTGTGAATGGAGGGTTGGACAAGGTGATTGCTTAGATCTCTCTCGGGTCTCTATTTCTCTAATTCCAAATTCCAACAGGCATCCAATGATCGCTATCCACGTCCAAGTTTTAGACTCATAGCCCGAAAAGGGCGAAGCGCAGCGTGGTAGAGGTCGCAAAGGAGACAGGAAGAGAAGCAAGCATGCACTTTTAATGAGACGGCAAAGGAGGCTGGGAGGCACGGTGCTGGGTGTGGACTGCTTAAAAAACTCATTAGACCACAAATTCCAGACACTTAGGTGGGCCCGAGAACGCCCTGAAATCCCCTTCCCAAGTCAGGGCTGATGTTATTTCAAAGAAAAAGAAAACTTAACTTCCAGATCTGTAGAGCTCCAAGGTGAGCTCGCTGTGCAAAAACTACTTCTGTAAGTGCGCCAAGGGGCCGCAGGTACTTGGACTGCACTTGAGGAAGTGTCCAGAGTTGGCGGAAACAACTCATCCACTCGGGCTCCGGGCGCTCGCTGGTTTGCAGCAACCAAGCTGAGACAGACACACAGATGCGGGGGCCCAGGCCAGGGCTCAAGGAGCGCTGACCGAGACTTGCCCGGCTCTCGGGCCCCAGGTGGGAGGGAGGCGAGGCTGAGGCGGGGGGCGCACGGGCTGGATGTGCACTCGCCGGTCCCCCTCCAACCCGACCCGGGGAGCACGGGGCCCCGACCCGGGACAACTGAGGTGGATTGTCCCTAGAGTTTAAGACTGTCCCTAGAGTCGAGGGTGGAGGGGTGAGTGCTGGCGCCAGCACAGAGCAACACTCCCAGCAAGGAAGAGAACCAGAGAAGGAGGCGCAGCCGTCCGCACGGACCAGGCGCGCGCCGGCTCCCCGAGCCCGGAGCGGCGCAGCCCGCGGCGCCCTGGACACACCCACTGGGTTGCCGGCGCCAGCCCGCCCCGCCGGCCAGAGTGCTGGGGCCGGAGCCGGGGCAGCGGAAGCCGTGTCGGGGAGGCGCGGACGGCGCGCAGGGGGCGCGGGGCGCGTGGCTCTGCTCACCTGGCGGTCCGCGTCCCGGAGCGACCGGCGGCCGCCTCGCCTCGCCTCGCCCCCGCGTGGTTCCCGGCGCCGGGCAGCCCAGAGCGCCGCCGCATGGACGGCCGCCGCCGCCCCGCCGCCCCGCCGCCCGGCCGCCCCGCCGTCCCGCGCCCGCCCTGTACGGGCTCCCGCTGTGCCCCGATTCCGCGTCGGGCTGCGCGGGCGGCCAGCGGTTCAGGAGCGCGCGGAGAGCTCTGGCTCGAAGTTTGCGATCCGAGAGCGGGATCCGCGCTCCGTCGGTCCCTCCTCCCTCCCCCTTTGCGGCCTCCCGCTGTCATCTGGAGCCGCTCCTGCCGCCCCCTGGCGGCCGCTGCGGGAAGGGCCGGCCTCCATCCGCCCCCCACCCGCAGACCCCCGTCAACAACAGGATGGTCCATGGGTCCCAGGGGAAGAGACATCACCCAGTAGGAGGGAGCACGGTCTAGACAGAGGCCACGAAGGCGGGAGGGGGCGACAGTGGACAGGAGAGTGGCCCAGCTGGCCAGGGCTGTCTAAGTGAGAGGAAAAGGGAGAGGGCGGTTGAGACCAGGCCCTGAATTCCGCGTTCGTCTTATCCTGAGGTCTGTGGGGACCTGTTGAAGGACTGGGGCACGGGACGGACGTGGGCGTCCTTCCATTTGGAGCAGCCATTCCGGCAGCATCAGGATGGGGCGGAGGCAAAGCGGGGAGCGGGTGAGACAAGTGGTGCTGTAAACCTGTGCGAGAAGGGGGCGGTGACTCTAAGGGCAGGAAGGAGTCCTGGTCACACACACACTCCCACGCAAGGTAGGACGCGCTGGGCTCCTTCTGAGGCCAAGGGAAAAGGACAAGAGCCCTCCAAATTCCAACTGGGGTTAGACAGCATGGGGAGGAGACACACACACCCTGACAGCCAGAGCCGTTCGGGATTCTCTCTTGTCTTATTCAGGGTAATATTTTGTTGGGGAAAAAAATGCCTGCTGCAAAAAATATATATATATTATTATTATTATTGTTATTAATAATGATAAAAATCAAACTTTGATACCGTCGTTTTACGAATGGGGAAATTATTGCCCCCAAAAAGGCATGACCAAAGAGATGCAGTTAGTTAATGGCGGGAAAATTACTAGGGCCCCGTTTCTTGAGTCCTAATTCAGAGCCAAATTCTTTACATTCGAGCCAAGGTGTTCAGAGCTGGGAAGGCAGGAAATAGAGTGACTGTGTGGAACCGTCTCTTCTTTCCCCCAGAGCAGGGAGGGGGTGACAAATATTTGAAGAGGCTCTCCAGGTACAGGCGTTTCCCTAAATTTGAGTCAGCCTGTTTGTTTATCGCTGCCTCTAAAGCTTGCCTGCAGGGGCTGTTTTGAAAGTGCAGGTGTACCGAGAGGACAATGAAGGAGGTGGCAGAATGCAAGCTCCCTGCCCCAGAGCCAGGCCGCACCAGGGCTGGGTGCAGTGTGCTTCGTGGGAGCAGAAGGGAGCTCCCAGGGATGACTGTCCTCCAGAAAAAAAAATTAACAAAAGGGAAAGTGGCAACCCAAGAGATCAGGCCAAAGAAAGAAACACCACTTTGAGTGCCGACTACTGGCCCAGAGGCTGGCAGAGCCAGTTCTGACTTATTCAAGAGCTGGTTCCAATGGGATGAAACAATTCCACACTTTATCAAACAGATTTTGATGGGAGGCACCTGGTGTAAATGGGATTAGATTAATTCTGAGTGTCACGAGTCTCATGGGTCCAAATTAAGTCGATCTAACAGCTCTAGTAACTACTGGCCAGTTTAAACCATTTAGAATTGATTAAAAAAAAAAAACCTACACAACTTTAGAATGTACTTAATGTCACTGAATTGTACACTTAAAAATGGTTAAAATGGAAATTTTATGTTATGTACATTTTACCATAATTTTAAAAAAGAAAGCAAAACTAATAAGATTTGTTCAAAGATTTACTAATTCGTTTGAGACACGTATTTCGTGCCTTGGTGTGGCCTTGGTGCTAGGATTCAAAGATGAAAGGAAGAAAACTTTCCATTCCAAAAGAAACTCCATGTAAGGTGAAGAAGATGAAATACAGGCAGAAAACCATACCAGTAGGTGGTAGGTGTATGCAGAAGTATTTAGGAGCTCATACAGGAGTGCCTGCCTCAGGACAGGGAATCTGGGATGTTGTGCTGAGCTGAATCTTAAACAATTGAGTGAGTTCATCGAATAAGGTCTAGGGCAAACAGGGCTTAGGAGCAAAGGGTGTGGTTTTGTTTTTTTGCTTTTTTATTTTTTAATTTTGAAATAATTTTAGACAAATTTCACAAATAGTACAAAGAACCCCCTTATATCCCCCACCCTCTTCCTCTAATGTTAACATCCTACATAACCCAAGTACGATTATTAGTGAGCAAACTTGATTTGACAGACCTAGGCTGGCTCCTCAGAAGTGATTCCAGTCCATTTCAACTTTGGTCAAATTGTTTTGACCATATTTTGCTTATATGTCACAGGAAAGTCTCTTTCTTTAAAGTCAAGATAATACTTGTTTTATTTGTTTATTTATTTTGAGAGAGGGTCTCACTCTGTCACCCAGGCTGGGGTGCAGTGGCACGATTGCAGCTCACTGCAGCCTCCATCTCCTGGGCTCAAGCAGTTCTCTCACTGCAGCCTCCCAAGTAGCTGAGACTACAGGCATGCGCCACTACACTTGGTTATTTATTTTTTATTTTTTCATTTTTTATTTTCAGTAGAAAGCAGGGCTCGCTGTGTTACCCAGGCTGGTCTCAAACTCCTGAGCTCAAGTGATCGTCCGTTCTCAGCCTCCCAAAGTGCTGGGATTATAGGCGTGAGCCACAGAGACCAGCCTATATTCATTTTAAACAAAGAGATATTTACATTATGTGTAGGCATCAGTGAATATTAAGTATGCTAAAACAGCAAGTTTTAATCTTTCAGTCCTGTTATATTTCTACTTTTATCCAAATGTGTCTCTTATGTATGAATCGGAGGAGCAGAATTTGATCCTTGCGTATAAAATATCTTACTGACCCTCACCGAAAGAGAGAGCCAAGAATAGGTGCTTCAGATCACAGTCAGAGGCTGACCTGTGCTTACCCAGGCTGGGGGCCTGCCTGGCATGTCAGTGTCATCTGTACACAGCATCTTGGAGGGTGGGCCACCCCTTTGCATATCTGATGTGATGAACTGCTCACTACCTCATAAACTAGCCCACATTGTTTTTAGAGGCTCTTTGTTAGAAAGTCCCTTGTAATTTTGACCTGAAACCTTTTGCCCGGTGATTATTATCCATTGGCCCTAGAGGCAGCTCCTAAATGGACAGACAAGAAACTTGTCACGTGTCAGTTCTGTCTATATAAGACAGCTCTAGCTTACACCTGTTGTCCTATTATAATTATTAATTAATTATTAATAGTGTTCCCCTTCATTCTCTTGTCCTAGTTAAGGTGATAAATTATGCATATGACATCCTATAGAAGACTGTCACCGCCCCACCTCACTGATCAGCTCTCTGCCTACAGCCACACCCACAGAACGTTCAGCCATTTCTCCTGTGGTTTCCAGCCTGCGCACAGCGTCTGCACATGGTGAGGCCTCCCAGATCCCTGAGGAACGAATGGCTCACTGCTGAGAGCAACTTCCTGGGACTTCAGGGCATGTGGAACTGGAATAAGAGCAACGTGTGAACAGATTACAGGAAGGCAATGCGGGACAGCCGGACCCTTTGTGGGGAAATTTATGGGGAACACAGTCTTCTCACTTACAAGCACTGAGATTGCCTGAGAGGGGAGAGATGATGCAGAGTGTCCCAAATTTATTTGACCTGGAATCCTTTTACCAGCGAAATATCTATTGGGCCTAGAGTTCTGAAAATTGCACTTTGAAAAACACTGCTCTCAGCTCTTACAAACACTCGTGTTTTCATCCTAACTGTGCTTCAGAGAATTGTGTCCCAGCAGGGAGGGAAACCCCTGTATAATTCCCTCCATTGCTAGTATTTGGAGGTGGGATGAAAATGAACCTACATTCAAACCCCTAATTTCAGGCTCTGAAGGAGGTACCAGGATCCATTACGATGCTTGTAAAATTGTTCCTTTCATTTTCCTGGTTGTAAACTTATGTGGACTGTGAAGTCCAGGCAAGCCTGTGCCCAGCAAATAATAAGAAAATAAGGGATGCATGGTAAACAAAACAAACACTTCGAGAGCTGGTCAACTTGCTGTTGTTTTGAGCTGTTTCTAAGAATCTCAGGGTAGATTCCCTCCCCTGCGTGCCTCCTTAACCCAGTCCTTTTTCTTCCTCCTCCAGGGACTCTGGAATACTGACCTACAGTCTGAGTTCCCGTGCCCTTGCCTGGGGCTGACTCTCTACTTGACCTGTAACCCACAACTGGGCAAGAGAAAATTCTGCAGCCACAGCTCTGAGGACATGAGCAAAATGGTTTCCAGATGGAATGTCAAGGATTCACATGAAGTGGCAGGGAGTCTTCAGGCCACACTTCAGGTTATCTCCTTCTCTTTCCCTTTTCTGCTTCACTCTTGCTCATATCCTTTCTCGCCCCACATCTGGTCAGAGGAGATAGGAAGGTTCTTGTTACCTGGTACAAGACAACTTTTGGAATCCCAGATATTCAGATTATTTCCCCTTTTCCTCTTTGCAAATGATAATACTCACAGCCAAGAGGCATCACCCGGATCTAAGGCTGCTTCTCCTTAGGACTTGCAGAGAGAGAAGGAGAAGGTGGGGCTGGCAGCCTCCAGTCCACAGCCTTCCTTTCTCCTCCTGGCGATGATTAACTAGGCCTAGACAATGGAGATCTATGGCATATGCCCATGTGCCAGGGCCTCCTCCTCTCAAGCGTGGCTGATCAGTCACTCGCCTGTCTATCCTTTATTTATTGAAGCCAACTATGAATGACTAAAGGAAGGATGAGAAAAGTCACCCAAGGTCAAAGGGGACAGTGTGGGAGAATGCTCTAGACAGAAGGAAGCACCTTTGCAAAGGCCCTGAGGAAGGCAGGGCACTCTCAAGGAGCAGAAGAGCTGTGTGGCCTCAGAATCCACAAAAGAGAGAGAAGGTGGGGAAGCAAAGCAAGGCGGGGTGGCCTGGGGTCTGACTGCACAGAGTCTACTGGGCCTGGTTAATCATCCCCTGACAGCCACAAAGGCATGGGCCTATCCCATCAGAGCAGATACAGGACACTGGCTGGAGCAGGCCATGGAGCCCGCTGCTGTCCTGGAGGCCTTGGGGAGACCCAGGGTTCCCAGAGTGGAAGAAGAAGGGGGCAGCTTGACGTACTGGCTGTTGATCAGCTGATATGGAAGTACATCGTTTTATTAACAATTAAGAAAGCAGTGCTGTGCAATTCTATTCAATGCCCGTGATGCTTTCGGCCGTTTTTATGAGTTGTGTCATTTTCAAATGAGCAAGAGGAAGCCTCTAAGGGGGTTTAAGCTGGGGCAGATGTAATCAGATCTGTGTTTTTCCAGAGGCAGAGAGGGGAAAAAAAAACCCATTTGTTATTTTTTTAAAAAGGTAACGCAAAAGCATCATTCCACATTTCTCTTGTAATGAAAAAAATAAATGCAAACTTAAGCAAATCCATCATTCTGAAAGAATGCCCTGTGTCCGCCTTTTCCTTCCTGGGAGACTCTCATAATGAGGTCCTGTCCTTCACCCATTGCTCACACTGCCGCCTGGTACCTCTTGTGACCAGGACTGCAAATCTCCAAGACAACTGGAGCGGGTGGGAGAGCTCAGCCAGGAAGCAGTTTCTCTGTTTGAGGCTAATCAGCTTACATTGTGCTTGAAATTGCTGTCACCTTGGCCTTGTTGGCAATTTTCCCTCTTCAGCAAACTGGTTTTCTTGTTGAATGAATTAATTTTTATAAAATCTCAGAGATAGGGCATATCCAGTGAACACTGGCCAGATATGGCTTATGCATAAAACCAGGGCACTACAAATGACAAAGTCACACGGTCTCCAAGTTCATGGCTTTGCCTTGCCTCACTCGTCTTCATCCTGCCTCTCTTCAGCACACAGAGCACCTACTATGTGCCAGTTGTAACGGCTCACCAGACAGTGCTGCCAGAGTGTTCCTGGGCCCCACATTCCGTTTTGTTTGTTTGTTTGTTTTTGTTTTTTAATGTTTCCTTTCACCACTCTGTGTGTGATGGCGGAAACTGTTGCTTCTGAGCAGCAGTTTGGTGTCATAAAAGAAAGCAGTCAGTCCCCCAACCACTACACTGCCATTACTCTCTGGCCATCCCATCGTAGAAGTCACCAACCTTTGAACTGCAGTCACCTCCCCTGTGGAATGGCAAGAACCTAATTATACCTGTTGGGAGAGTATTGAACAGGCTCACACCACCTCATATAGCCCCTTCCAGTTCTCAAATCCACGAATCTCTCAGAAACTCTGCAACAGGAAAATTATGTGACTCGTTTTGGATCCATCTGGGAAAAGATGACATACTCAGAGAAGTATGTGATTTCTTTTTTAAAAATTTCAAGCTGCGTTTGGAATAGCTTCTTTTATTCCCTGTAATGCAGAGAATTACCATGCAGCTCTAGTGCCACATCATGGCTTACAGACAAAACTCTCCACGATCCGTGTCTTCAGTCATGAAGACATTGACAGAGCTGCTGTGTTTGTTGACTTGGGTAGGATGAGAGAACACCTGAGTGGGTGACCCTGAAATGGCTCCTCTATTCCTCTGGTATTGTTTATCCAGAAGCTACAGGATCAGTGTTCAGAGCCAGCTTCTTCCTATGTTCATCTTTCCCTATTTAAAATCTCAGAATTCTAGAGGTAGAAGAGAGTATTTTCTCTTTCGGTTTTTTGTTTGTTTGTTTGTTTGTTTGTTTGTTTTTGAGACAGTCTCACTCTGTCGCCCAGGCTGGAAAGCAGTGGCACGATCTTGGCTCACTGGAACCTCCGCCTCTCGCATTCAAGAAATCCTCTTGCCTCAGCCTCCTGAGTAGCTGGGACTACAGGCACACGCCACACACCCAGCTAATTGTTGTATTTATTTAGTAGAGATGGAGTTTCACCATGCTGGCCAGGATGGTCTCCATTGTTTGACCTCATGATCCGCCTGCCTCAGCCTCCCAAAGTGCTGGGATTACAGGCCTGAGCCACGGCGCCCGGTCCTATTTTCTCTTACTCAGATTAAAAAAAACAGGCCTAGGGGAAAAAATAAGTTGCAGACATTCACACCATGAGTATATTGTCGATCAGAAATAAGAACCCATCTGATGGGCCTTGAGCTATTCCAGTGAGCCCCCTCCCCATTGTCCTGTCCCTCGGAAGTCCATGGGTGGAGAAAACCAAGGGCTTCAGGCTGTCAGAAATAGCCATGGAAACTACTTAGGACATCTTGAATTCCAAATATCATACACATTAAAGCTAAGGATCTTCCCCGCTCAAAGCATATTTAATCTAACCAGGTTATTATTTTTCTTCTTTGGAGTTAAAATACAAGCCTTGTGGGTTCTCCCTCATGGGCTTGTCCCAAAGCTTAGCCCAGCAATGTGGACCCCAGTGTCTGCTACTATCGGTGCCACTTTCCAGAACTCAGCCTCTTGCCAGAACTCCTCTTCTATGAACCTCGGGTTTGTTCAGGGAGAGTTTCGAGGGCTGAGAAGCATTTCTTCTATAGTACTGGGACGGCTCCCACCTCCAGTTTCCCAGCAGCCTGAGCCCTACGGTGGCCACCTCATCTCTATGCCTCCATTGTAAAGAGCTGCACCTATCCTTGTATCTGCCAGCAAGCAGGCCACGTGGAGGTGGAAGGCATCAGAGGAGGCAGAGGAGCCCTGCATTGTCTGCATGCTTCGGCACAGGTTTCCTAGGAGGAGAGATGGAAGGTTGCAGGGTGGAATGGACAGAAAATGAAGCAGTGATTTGGGAAAAAATAATAGCAGCTGGTTTTCATCTGGGTACTAGCCTTGTGACCTTGAGCAGTGGCTTAACCTGCTGAGCCTGTTTCCTCATCTGCAGAGCAGGCTTGACACTCACTAACTGCTGACTTCTCTCAAGGGGGAAGATGGGGAGAGAACACTCTCGTGTCCTGTGTCTTCCCCATTAACATCCTCAGTCAGAGAGAAGTTGGTCTGTTCTTGGTCTGTCCCTTTTGTCTGGCTAGCTATATTGCCATTCTTCTGTTGTCACGGGAACATTCCAAAGGATGAATGAAGGGTATGGGATCAAGCAGAGGCAAACATGAGCAAGAACAAGTGTGTAGATTAAGATACAAACTTCTTCTGACCCAGTCCTGTGAGTGGAAAATACCACACAATGGGAAAGAAACCAAATCACCCTGACATGCGCTCAGATATTGTGGTGTAGGTCAAAGGGTGGGTCAAAAGGCTTGCTTTCTTTTTCTTTCCTTTCTTTTCTTTTTCCTTTTCTTCTCTTCTCTTCTTTCTTTCTTTTCTTTTGCTTTCTTTCTTTTCTCCTCCTTCCTTCCTTCCTTCCTTCTTCCTTTCCTTCTTTCTTTCTTTTCCTTCTTTCTTTCCTTTCCTTCTTTCTTTCCTTTCCTTCTTTCTTTCTTTCCTTCTTTTAAAAACAGGTTGTTGCAAAAGGAAAGAAAACAAGAACACGTTGTTTCTTTTTGATTGATTAAGTCAATTGGACATGTCAAACTTTTACTTGTGAGCATCTGAAGTTCCCTTGAAGCTAATAAGAACTTTCTTCTGGATAACATTTTCATGAAGACAACACATCAGTTTGTGAAAGGCACATTGGTTTTAGAGTTAAACAAATGTGCACTTGGAGCCTTGCTCTGCTAACTTCCTGACTATGTGACTTGGAAAAGTGACTTACTAGTCTGAGTTTTTCAACTCTCCTGTGGCTATAATGATTTTAGAGGGCATGGTTTTGGTAGTCATGACGGAAGTTTACCAATTCGCCTTCAGAGACGAGATTTCACTTCCCCTCCCTTTGAAGTTAAATGTGGCCATGTGACTTGCTGTGGCAAATGGAATGTGACTTCTCGTTTTAATTTTTTTTTTTTAAGTTGGTAGTAGCCTTAAGACTCAATGTACAAATCATCGTGTCCCTTCCCACTGGTGCTAGGGTTGTGGAATGCTTGGATAGCCTGGGTCTCAAAGGACTGTGATCCACAAGCACCCGCACCATTCATCGAATGTACAGCATCAAATCTCCCACTGATATTTGAGTTTGCTACTGCAGCAAAACCTAGCATATCATGACTGATATAATGGTTGATACAATAAAATATGATGACATTTGTAAATACAACTTGGCAATGGTAAAGTGATCGGAAAGCCTTGTTGTTTTCGTGTTCAGAGGTAATTGTGCTGATTAGTAGGCCCAACGTAAGGGATAAATATTCCTGCATGGGTCAGGCAGGCTGCAACTTTACCCCAGATCATTTTTCTCCACCAGGGGCCAGAATCAGGAAAATCTGAAAAACTCCCCAACAGATCTGCCATGGGACCCAAATATCAGTTCTGCCTTGAGATAAAGGCCAATCTGAGTACTGAAAGTGGGAGCTTAGGGAAATTCATCAGGCTCTGGGAGTGGAGAATACTGAGGAATGGAGGCACAGTAGTGGGAGTGGTCTTGAAGAGCAGCCGTGGAGAACTGAGGCCTGTATCATGGTGGGAAGTCCTTGCAATGTGAAGGTTAAGCACACCGTGCACG